CGAAATTTCTATGGGGAAATTTTCGTCGAAAATTCGTTGAAATTTCTATGGGGAAATTTTCGTCGAAAATTCGTCGAAATTTCTATGGGGAAATTTTCGTCGAAAATTCGTCGAAATTTCTATGGGGAAATTTTCGTCGAAAATTCGTCGAAATTTCTATGGGGAAATTTTCGTCGAAAATTCGTCGAAATTTCTATGGGGAAATTTTCGTCGAAAACTCGTCGAAATTTCTATGGGGAAATTTTCGTCGAAAATTCGTCGAAATTTCTATGGGGAAATTTTCGTCGAAAATTCGTCGAAATTTCTATGGGGAAATTTTCGTCGAAAATTCGTCGAAATTTCTATGGGGAAATTTTCGTCGAAAATTCGTCGAAATTTCTATGGGGAAATTTTCGTCGAAAATTCGTCGAAATTTCTATGGGGAAATTTTCGTCGAAAATTCGTCGAAATTTCTATGGGGAAATTTTCGTCGAAATTTCTATGGGGAAATTTTCGTCGAAAATTCGTCGAAATTTCTATGGGGAAATTTTCGTCGAAAATTCGTCGAAATTTCTATGGGGAAATTTTCGTCGAAAATTCGTCGAAATTTCTATGGGGAAATTTTCGTCGAAAATTCGTCGAAATTTCTATGGGGAAATTTTCGTCGAAAATTCTATGGGGAAATTTTCGTCGAAAATTCGTCGAAATTTCTATGGGGAAATTTTCGTCGAAAATTCGTCGAAAATTCTATGGGGAAATTTTCGTCGAAAATTCGTCGAAAATTCTATGGGGAAATTTTCGTCGAAAATTCGTCGAAATTTCCATAGGGAAATTTCCGTCGAAAATTCGTCGAAATTTCCATAGGGAAATTTTCGTCGAAAATTCGTCGAAATTTCTATAGGGAAATTTTCGTCGAAATTTCTATAGGGAAATTTTCGTTGAAAATTCGTCGAAATTTCTATAGGGAAATTTTCGTCGAAAATTCGTCGAAATTTCTATAGGGAAATTTTCGTCGAAAATTCGTCGAAATTTCTATAGGGAAATTTTCGTTGAAAATTCGTCGAAATTTCTATAGGGAAATTTTCGTCGAAAATTCGTCGAAATTATTATGGGGAAATTTTCGTCGAAATTTCTATGGGGAAATTTTCGTCGAAAATTCGTCGAAATTTCTATGGGGAAATTTTCGTCGAAATTTCTTTAGGGAAATTTTCGTCGAAAATTCGCTTAAATTTCTTTAGGGAAATTTTCGTTGAAAATCTATAGGGGAAATTCTCCCTTTTTTCCATAGAGATATTTTCGTCCCATCAGAAATATTTCTTTACTACCCACCGTTTTCGTTGCTGTTTTTGGCCATTAAGTATGCGCATCACATGTTTGTTGTTATCTCCATACCTGTGTGCGTGTTCGTGGTCTTGTTGATGTACAATTTTTGGGTTATACCACTTATTCTTCCTTTCGACCTTCCTTTTCGTGTGTGAGGCGCCATTGAATGGGGGCTACTAACTTGAAAAGGGTGTTTTTCGGGGGTTCCGCACAACAATGCGTTGAGATGCGTCGAAATGCGAGATTTTGCGAGAGTTTACAATACCAAAAGTGCGGCTACTCAATGCCGGCTTCACATACACCCAAACATGCCGGCATACTTTGCCGGCTATGTCTACGTATTTTACGACTGCATCGGCTGCATTCTTATGGGCCATTGAACGAACGTGTGTGTGTGTCCGACCAGATGGCTGGCTGACTGGCCTTTCGAGGGGCTGCTGGTGGTGGCATTGGCATTGGCAAAATCGAGTGGTGGTAGTTCTACTGGTCTAAATTCCTTTATTTTTGGTGCTCGAGGTAAATGACCTGATTAAATTTTCAATTTTACAGTTAAATACGATAATGAGGTCAAATGAGATGAAATGCATATAAACACAAGAGCACGTACAGGAGGACATACTCCCATACACACACATCTAGATATACATATATGCATGGCTATCTCAAAGTATATACTTAGCCAGGCAGAGAGCTTGTACATACTTATATGCGGACATACATATATATTTAAGTGTTTCGTATCCTTGAAATCATTTGTTGTTGTTGGCTAAATGGACAAATACTAATAATAATAATGATATGGTTGGTGGTTGGATAATGTTGCTGCCGTTGCTGCTTCAGCTTCAAGCACATAATTAACATAGTTTTCTAGCAGTCGTTAATGTGCCGTCTGCCCACTCTGGGGGCCAGTAATGAGGTTGTTTACATTACAACAACACTGTTTAGATTTGTCGTTCGGCAGGTTGGATGTTCGGCAAGCAGTCTGGCAGCTGCTTATTTAGATTTTAATAAGGTAGGTGGTTGGTTGGTTTATTTTTAAGTAGGTGGTAAGTCTATGCGGTGTACATGTGTGTATGTATACGTGTGTGTGTGTGAGTCTGTATATTTTTGGACCTACTTATTATCATAAAGGACATTTGTTGTGGCATTCTGGGCTGATAATCAGATGAGATGTTCTTGTTGTTGTTGCTTGTCGGCCATGACCATGACCCTGACATATAAAACATGACTGGCATACTAATCTTGACAACAAGAACAACAATAAATAATAACCTTAATCTATAATTAATAACAATTATTGGTTTTCGTAGAGTAATACAGGACAGTTCCCGACGAAAAATTTCCTTTAGAAATATAAGAAAATTTTCGACGAAAATTCTCCTCTATTTCTAGAGGAATTTTTTCGACGAAAATTCTCCTCTATTTCTAGAGGAATTTTTTCGACGAAAGTTCTCCTCTATTTCTAGAGGAAATTTTTCGACGAAAATTCTCCTCTATTTCTAGAGGAAATTTTTCGACGAAAATTCTCCTCTATTTCTAGAGGAAATTTTTCGACGAAAATTCTCCTCTATTTCTAGAGGAAATTTTTCGACGAAAATTCTCCTCTATTTCTAGAGGAAATTTTTCGACGAAAATTCTCCTCTATTTCTAGAGGAAATTTTTCGACGAAAATTCTCCTCTATTTCTAGAGGAAATTTTTTGACGAAAAATAGGAGAATTTTCGACGAAAAATTTCCTCTAGAAATATAGGAGAATTTTCGACGAAAAATTTCCTCTAGAAATAAAGGGGAATTTTCGTCGAAAAATTACGTATGGAAATATAGGAGAATTTTCGTCGAAAAATTACGTATGGAAATATAGGAGAATTTTCGTCGAAAAATTACGTATGGAAATATAGGAGAATTTTCGTCGAAAAATTACGTATGGAAATATAGGAGAATTTTCGTCGAAAAATTACGTATGGAAATATAGGAGAATTTTCGTCGAAAAATTACGTATGGAAATATAGGAGAATTTTCGTCGAAAAATTACGTATGGAAATATAGGAGAATTTTCGTCGAAAAATTCCCTAAGGAAATAGTGGAGAATTTTTGTCGAAAAATTCCCTATGGAAATAGTGGAGAATTTTTGTCGAAAAATTCCCTATGGAAATAGCGGAGAATTTTTGTCGAAAAATTCCCTATGGAAATAGTGGAGAATTTTTGTCGAAAATTTTTTTTTTTCGACAAAAAATTTCCTTTAGGAATATAGGAAAATTTTCGTCGAAAAATTTCCTATAGAAATATAGGAAAATCCGGGGAGAATTTTCGTCGAAAATTTGCCTATAGAAATAGCGGAGAATTTTCGTCGAAAATTTCCCTATAGAAATAGCGGAGAATTTTCGTCGAAAATTTCCCTATAGAAATATAGGAGAATTTTCGTCGAAAATTTCCCTATGGAAATAGAGGAGAATTTTAGTCGAAAATTTCCCTATGGAAATAGAGGAGAATTTTTGTCGAAAATTTCACTATGGAAATAGAGGAGAATTTTTGTCGAAAAATTTCCTATGGAAATAGAGGAGAATTTTTGTCGAAAAATTTCCTATGGAAATAGAGGAGAATTTTTGTCGAAAAATTGCTTATAGATATAAGGAGTATGCGGCGTATGATGATACGCTTAATATTCCTCATACGCATAATAGTACTATCTCAATTTTTTTTTATTATTCAAATAAATAGATCGTATAGGTTGTGAAAAAAAAAAAATTTTTCTGTATAAATTTAATTAGTATTTTTTTAAATATATGTATTTCTGTCCATCTTGTATTCCTTTGGTTTATTTATTTTTTTAAAATAAATAATTTTTAAATTATAACATTCGTATCCATATGCCAATGTTTAATTTCCTTCCTGTCTATAAGCCCTTTAAACTGCAATCGACCATAAATTTAACTGTACATAGAAAGTTCTCAACAGAGACATTTTTATTGCAAACAATTAACTAATCAACAAAATAACAAATAATTTTGGCAAAAGATACGAGACGAAAATAGTCGACGGCAATCGTTTGTTAGGAAAGAGAGCAAAACAATTTGTGTTAAATTTTTTTCTGTTAGTATTAAAGAAAACCCTTGGCTAGAAAAATAACTCTCATTACTTTAATAGTATAACAGTAATAACAACAGCAACAACGATAAATACATTCTACTATGATGCTATACTATGTTGATAACAACCATGGAGAGAAAGTTACAATACCAACAAAATATTGAGAGAAAGTCCCATACAAACTAAAACAAAACAAAACGAAGAGTAAAATCATGTTTGTAGTAAATGTAGTGAGCAAGGCAAAGTGAGAAAGAGAGAGAGAGAGTCCATATTTGTCATTGTACTACTATTAATGTATTGTGTGGAGCACTATTTACTCTCTGTGTCTCCCTATGTGTGGTAGAGTACTAGAGAGCAACACACACTTGACGACAAACCCGTGTGGGCAAGTGTATGCCATGTATATATCTATCCCACCTATTTGATAAAGGAAACAACCCAAAATTGCTGTGTGGGACTGAATGGATGGATGGATGGCTGTTTAACTGGCTTGGTTGGCTGGTTGGTTTGGCGACGACGACGATAACGTCCACCTTGTGATGCCAAAAGGATAGACGAGTAAATTGTCTGGCGGTGCCAGTATCAAACTTACGACACACACCATTAGGTGGTGTATAACGGTACTTTTTTCCATTATCTTCGCCCGGTGTCGTCGTCGCCGTTGTGTACAACAAAACTGCCTGGGTTTTTTTTTCGCCATATCCGTCGTTCCCTTTTCTTGTTTGTTTGAGTTCGCCTGGTGATTTTTTTGGCCTGTTGGTTGGGTGTATTATTTTTTTTCCCGTCGACAACCCACAGCCCACGTAGTATTTCGTAGGGACATTAAGGCAGAAATTGAGGCTTTTTTGCCACCAAAAAAAAAAAAAGAAGAACACACACAGGAAAACTTGCAGGACGAGAAATAGGGAAATCTACACCGTCGTTGTATTGACGCATTGCCGCCCAGTGCATGGGACAAAGACTGAGACGGCCCTTGTAAAGGGCGGGGGGGCACAACGGCCAATATGTGGGTCTGTGGCGTTTAGTGTACGGTTGTGAAAATCACCACAGAACCGGCATTGAATTTAAAGACCCCCAAAATTATGGGAAATTTAAGAAACGAGTATTGAGTGTTGCAGCTTTGCCTTGAATCCTTACAGAAGTGCATTCCAGATGGCATTGATGGCGGCCACCATGTGAATACAAATCAAGGGCTATGGGTTACGTTTACACACAACAACAACAACAACGACATCGGCTCACAGCGCGACCAGCAGAGCGTTGTTGTGATTGCGGGTGCTGGCTGCACTGCACAGCACAGCGAATGAGTAACGCGAAAGTGAGTGTGAGTACCACAGGCAAGGCAGTGTAAACTTTCATCATCATCGTTCGTCGGCTGTAGTCGTGTGTGGCAAGTGGCAAGTAAAACACCAAAAGGAGGTGCATTCAATTCAGTCCCACTACGAGAAGGCCAAAGAACAACAAAGTGCATTGAAATGCAAAAGGCATTCCCCCAAATATGAAACAGAAAACAAAAAAAAAATCCAGTCCATCCATATATCCTGGAGTACACACACACACACCCAAACCCCAAATATTATTTGCCACATTCATTGATTCCACGACGCAACGAAAAAAAAATTCACACAACTGAAAAAAATAAAATAAAACTCAACAGAAACTGTGTCTAAAGATTTAAAATATTGGTCAGTGCGGAACAAAGCGTAACAAAAATAAAACCGACAAAAATCAAAACGGGGAATACAAGAAAAGAAAAGTGTTGTATCTTAAAAAAAAAAAAAAACAATAAAAAATCGAGAAATATTTTTATGCAAACACCAAATTTATGCAATATGGCTAAAATGTTTGCCAACAACAGGAAGGTGAGTGAGTTCAGGACATGAAAAAAAAACAGGCTACCATTTTCCATTTTTTGTAAAAAATCAATAAACCAATAAAAACAGCTGCTAATTGTTTTTTTGCTCTTCACTAATTAAAAATTTTAAATAAAATAAATTAATTTCCTATATTCTTTTGAAATTAAAAACAAAAAAAATAAAATTTTCACTTTTTTTCAATTTCATATACAACTATTTTTTTGGTTTTCTTTGCCAGCCTAGAACAATAGATTCATGATTTTTTGCGATATTTTTACCGCAAAAAATGAATAGAAATACTTGAAAATATTATTGGAAATTTTTGGAATACTTTCTTCATTTTTAGATATAGCAAGTGCTATAGATTCGCCTACTTGTTTCGCAATTATGGCAGATATGTGACCTTTGTTGTTGAGGTACCAGAACGCGTTGGCAGATATCTATCATTTTCACAACACATTTTGCGTTAGCAAAAATGTTTGAATGCGTGAAATTTGAAGAGAGTTTGATGCTTATGCCGTGTTTTATTAGCGTTTTGTTTTTCAAAAGTTTGAACCCTTTGTGTGGGAAGTACCAGAAAGAGTGCGCCGATATATCCCATTTTCACAGCCGATTTTGTGTTAGAAAAATAATGGTATGTGTGAAAGTTGAAGAGAACCGGATGTTTATATCGGATTTTATGATCTTTTTGGTTATTCAAAATTTTGACCCTTTTGTGGGGGTGGTACTTGATGAAGTAACCTAGAACTGATGCAAATATAAGGATTTGCAAAGTTGGAGCGAAATCGGATTATCCTTTCTCTCTCTCTGCGCAGTAAAATATTTTTTTGAAACCTTTTGTGGGGGAAGTACAAGAAGGAGTGGACCGATATTCCCCATCTCTGAACCCAATCTAAGTTTGATAATAATATAACGATGTACCAAGTTTGGATCAAATCGGATTCTCCCTTCGAGCGTTATCGTGCGCACCAGCCGGACTGACAGACGGACGGAAATCTCTAAATCGACTCCAAATACCCTGAAACAGATTTCTGATGTAAGAGTTCGATTGCCTTCATATTACACAAATCACAAAATTTCCATCAACACAGGATCTGTTACAACGATGGTAGAGTTCCAACCACTCCTTCTGGTACCTCCTCCAGAAAGGATCAACATTTTGAATAACCAAGAAGCACATAAAACGCGAAATTAAGATCCGATTTCATTCACACTTGACACATCTCAATATTTCCATCAACACAAGATCTGTTATAAAGATCGGAAATCGGATCATTCTTTCTAGTACCTGCCCCACAAAGGGTTAAACTTTTGAATAACCAAATCGATTATAAGATCCGAAATAAGAATCCGCTTCTTTTTTTTTGTAATATAAGTCGGCAAAACCGACATATAGTTTTTAAACTCGTTTTAACTAAAACAAATAAAAAGCAGTTAAGTTTAGACGGGCCGTACTATTAATACCCTCCACGACTGAAGGATCTTGAATAATTTTAAAAAAAATCTGTCGAAAAATATCACTGAAATGAAAACCGTTATATGGGGGATATACGAAGGCATGGACCTGCATAAGTAATTTTTTCATAATTTTTAACTTAAAATCCGAAATTTTAAACAATTCCGGTCAAAAATTTCGCTAAATTCATCAAAATACCGAATATCGGGAGGTACCGTTATGTGGGGGATACACGATATCGTGGACCTAAATAGACTATTTCTTTCCAGAAACCAAACTTCTCAGAAGGAACTCCTTGGGAGGATTTTCAAATAATTCCATTAAAAAATTTAGCTACAATCCTCAAAATATCGGGAGGTGCGGTCATATGGGGGATATACGATATAGTCGACCTAAATGGACAATTATCTTAAAGGGGGTAAAGTAGTCAGAAGGAACTTGAAAAATGTGCCTAAAATTATCAGAATACCGAATATCGGGAGTACCTTTATATGGGGGTCATACAATATCGTGGACTGATATAGCCCATTGTCGAACTTGACCTGCCTGCACACAAAAGACTGATGTCTGCAAAATTTTAGCTTCCTGTCTTAAGTCGTTTTGACTATAGCGCGATTAAAACAGACGGACAGTCTGTCTGTGATCAAGAATACTTATACTTTGTTAGGTCTAAAATTATTATTTCGATGAGCAACAAACGGAATGACGAACTTAATAAACCCTACATATTATGTATGGTAGATGGTATAAAAAATATATTTTTTTAATAAACCTATGTGCTATTAGAAAAATATATATTTTCTTTAATATATTTCCCATAAATCAAATTTACCATTTTTAACATGGCAACCCTGTTCATTTGCTCTTCAGTTTCCCCGATTCTCTTTTAGTCAATACATTTTGTATCAAAAATAACTGTAATCAGCTCAAAACAACTACTCTCAATGCCCAAGTAAACGGCTCTCCCTCTCTCTCTATCTCTCTAATTTGTCTCTGAGCAAATGTTTTGTTTGCATTGTAGTAGAAAATTTGTGTGTTGTTGCATTCCTATAAGGAATTTCACTTTTTATTTTGCCAATACACAAATACACACACACACGGAACTCTCACTTAAACACAAGTCCTCGGATGTGTAGTATTTGGTAGTTGTTTCGGAAGGACTACAACAAATGGGCTGTGGGTTTGTTGCTGACCACCAACAATTGAGAGAGAGAGTGAGAGAGAGCAACAACGTTCTGAGTACTAAATGACTACCAATTGGACCCAGTCTTATTAGCAATGATAATAAACCCTGCTACGCTCTGGTTTTGTTTATGTTTTATGGTCAAAATGCCGCCGGATTTGTATTGTGTGGGAATTTGGAAATGTTTGAAGTATTTAAATTGCCAAAAGAGTAAATTAATTTGTAATTATGATTTTAATTCACTTAGATTGTGATTATGATGACGTAGGTGAGAAGAGTGACTTTCGTTTTTTTTTTTAATTTATCTAAAATATCTTCTCCTTTTTTTTCTTTCTTTTCAGAATTTAACGCAATATTTTTATTACAATTTTATGCTGCATGCAATCCCATTGACATTTCTTAGAATTATACAAAACAAAAAATTACTTAAGGAAAAATGAACTTTTCACCGTTTGGTAATCCATTTCCCGGTTCCATACCGGGTATAGCCCAGTTTACCACCACCACAACACCATTGGTATCCACGGCAACCTCGGCTGCGGCAGTGGCCACGGTAACATCAACGGCAACATTGCAACAGCAGCAACAGGATACGGCTGCAGCTGCTGCTGCTGTGGCGGCGGCCACCAATCGTTACCAGCAGCAGCAACAGCAACAACAACAGCAGCAGCAGCAACAACAACAGCAACAAAGTACCTCTACAATTAGTATGACCCATTTCAATCAACCTGCCATACAAGTTGCTACCGCCACCGCTTTGCCAACCGCCAAGTTCCGCACAAACAACGATGGTGGTGGTGATGGTGATAAATACAATGGCCACATGGTTACCCTGACAACGACGGGAACACCTGGAACTGTTAGCGGAAATCAGCAGCAGCAACAGCAACAACAACAGCAGCAGGCCCAGCAACAGCAACAACAAACCACACAATATACCGCCACCATACCCGCCTATAATCAACAAACCGAAGATAAACGTTTGGTCCAGGCCGCCATTGCTTATCCCCAGAGTACAATAACCGCTTCCACATCAGCAGCAGCCGCTGCCACCGCCCTGGGTCTACAACAGGCCCAACTGCAACCGGGCACCTCAACGCAAACAACGCAACTGCATACCCAGCTGACGGCGCCGCAGGAGTTAACTCAGGATCTCTGCAATGCCATATTGCAACAACAAGGTGTGGATTCAAAACGTGGTGAGTTATAATAGTCTAAGACCGGCGAGGGCAATAGAGATAGAGAATAGCAAGATAAAATGAAGAACAATATCGGTTCGTATCGAGGGGAATGACAGGTGTACGGACAAACAAATGACGGGAGCCATTGATAGTTGCTCGATTCCAGAACCTGCAAGAATTTTTCGATGTTATAAAAAATCGGTTATTTTAGTAAAATTTTTACATTCTTGCAGGTTCCGGAACGGAGCAAATCTTTGCAAGAAAAAATGCTTCAGGTGAATGTCCGCATTAGGTGCCATGCTCCTAGAAGTCGACAGGAGGTCCTAGGGGTCCTTACGAACGTCTTTTATTTAGGATATAATCTGTTCGTAGAAGACCCTTTAGGAAGCCCTTAGCAGCTCTCCCAACCCTTGAAGGTATTAAGGACGTCCTTTAATTATGAAATATATATTCAAATGCTGTACTCTCTCCAGAAGATCTATAGGGACATTTCCCCATTAGGTGTCCTGCTTCTAGAAGTCGACAGAAGGTTCTAGAAGTCCTTACGAATATATTTTATTTGGAATAAAATCTGTCATTAGAATACACTTTGAGAAGCCTTTAGTGGTTCTCTTATTCGTTGAAGGTATATGGGGTATCCTTTTCTATGGGATACATTAAGATGCCGTACTCTCCCTAACCACCTCCCTCTCATACTCTCTCCACAACAACTTCAAGGGAATTTCCCCATCAGATGCCCTGCTTCTCTAGACTCTCTTCGAAAGGGTATCTATCTCTGAAAGAAAAATATGTAAAATCTTCTAATAACCTTTATAGACCTACCATCTTCCTTTAAGGGGTCTATCATCTCCATAAGATTTTCAGTAGGCTGATTTTTTCTGTATGGTCTTCGGTGGCATTTCAACCCGAAAATGCATTTATGTTATGATTTATATGTAGGATACTTTCATCCCCTCTAAGACCTTATACTTAAAAAACTTCAATTTCCTTGTCATAAAGATATTCAGAAGGCCTTATAGCTCTGGAAGTTCCCTATCTCTTGAAGACGTTTACTAGGCCTTCCTAACGTTTACTAGGGGTCCCTTAAGAATTATCCTACTTCATGAAGTGCTTAGAAGAATTCCAGAAGACATTTAGTGTAAAACACACTCCCTCTTGAAGACCTATTGGGCGCCTCCTATCTCTTTAAGAACATCAGGAGATTTACTTTGTCTCAAAGACTTTTTGTCCCTTCAATGCCCTCAAGAAGACTCTAATATCCTAAAGACGTACAATAGGCCTTCACCGCCAGTATACTTTTACGAAATCTACTCCTTCAGAAGGCCTTCTTCTTCTCTACTTCTTTCGAGTGTCATTTAAGAATTCTCCTACATCTTAATATAATTCAGAAAATATTCAAAAGGTTTCCCATATCTGGTCATTAAAGAGATATTCCAGATATATCCTTCCCGAAGCTCTTCAAGTCATAAAAGGCATACTAAAATCTTCTTAGGGATATTATCCAGAAGATTTTCTCTCTCTGAATGTCCTCTGGCAAAATTTTTTCGAAGGACTTCAGGAGCTCATATATATTAAAGACATTAAGGGCTAAGGTTATTTTCAGAAGACATTCATGAGAATTTCCTCCACTTGAAAACCTACAGGGGGTCTTCTATCTGTTTCGACTTCAGGCGGTTTCCTTTGTCCTATATACCTCCATAATGCCAGACTTTCAGGAGGTCACCTATTTTTTAAATGTATTTTCGGAATTCTCCTACTTCTCGAAGGCCTAAATAGAATTTCTATTTACAAGACCTTTATCTTCAGAACACCTTCATAAGGTTTCCCATCTCTGACACATTAAAGAGATAAAGTCCTCATGAAGATCTTCTAGAGATAAAAATCCTTCCCAAAGCTCTTCAAGACATTAAAGTCATCCTGAAATTGTAGAAAGATATTATCCAAAAGGTGTTTGAGATGTGGAAATTCTTCTGAATGTCGTCTGGAGAAATTGCTCCGAAGGTCTTTAGAAGCTCTCGTTTATTAAAGATCTTTAGATAAAGACCTCATGAAGATCTTTAAAGGATAAGAAGTCTTTCATCAACCTCTTTAAGACTCTTTCATATATTGAAGATCTTTATGGGAATGGTTATCTTCAGAAGACATTCAGGAGACCTTCTTCCTCTTGAAAACCTGGAAGTCTCCTATCTGTTTCGACTTCAGGAGGTTTCCTTTGTCCTAAATACCTTTAGAACCTTTTGAGGGCCTTTTCGGAAGCCTCCTAAATAATTTATAATTATGAGCCCTTCATCTTCAGGACACCTTCCAAAGGTTTTCCATCGCAAACGTATTTAAGAAAGAAAGACCTCATTGAGAAAGAAACATTTATAGAAAGGCTCCAAGACAAAGAAGCCATCCTGGAAGTGTGTCATCCAATTCCGGAGATGGAAAATCTCCTAAGTGTCTTCTGTAGAAACTCTCCCAAAGTCCTTTAGGAGCTCTTATATTTTGACGACTTTCAGGACATGTTTATCTTCTGAAGACATTTAAGAGGTCTTCTGAAGATAACCATGTCCATCTCCTGAAAGTCGTCAAAATATATGTTCGATCTTTGTAAAACCATCTGCAGAATGTCCATCTCCAAGACACCTTTACGAGGTCTTTATTTCCAGGAGATTTTCTTGGGAAACCTAAAACATGAGGTGTTTATCTTTTCTAAGCCTACAGGACACACCATGTATATGTCTTGAAGATTTTCACGGCAATTTCAATTTCGAAAAGACTTTTGGAAGGTGTTTATTTTCAAGGAACTTTCAGAAGGACCATTTGGAGAATACCTACAGAAGGTTTTCCAACATTTTCCCTTATTACTTAGAACTCTTTTAGAATGTCTTCAGGCTGTTTTTCATCGATAGAAGATGGTAGACATACTTAGGTCGACTTTTGAATAATCTGTTAATCGAATTTTGGTGCTGAAAATCTTAGTTGTCGAAATTGATATCAATTCCCGATTTTTGTAACATCGATTATTTGCAGCCTTTTCATTTTTATCATCATTTAAAAGTGCTCTGTTCTAGAAACTGCAAGAATCTTCAAGTTTCAATATTTGTTCGATATCACAAAGGAAACATCGATTATCGTTTATAAAATTTGTACATGCTTGCAGTTCTAGAACAGAGCAAAAGTTTTAAGGTTGTCTTCCGTTATCAGTTTTTTTTCTCAATAGAAGACGGTAGGGACACATAGGTCGACTTTTGAATAATCTATTAAAATTTGTTTAAAACGTCCAAAGTCGAAGTCAATAACCGATTTTACGATAACCGAATTTCCCTTTATGGTTCAGAAAAAAATTGCATAAATAGTAGATTCTAGCAGGCCCTGGATCAGGCATTGGCTATGGTACATATTCGATTTCTTGCAATCAATTTTTATATGATAGTTTTTTTGGTAGGTTATTGCAGTAAAAAGTTTTACATTCTTGTCAAAGAGAAAATCTTTCATAGGTTTCTGAGATATTGGCGCCCAACGTTTCGTTTAAATTTTATTGATTACTTTTTGGGTGATCTCAGTCGTGTTTGGAATACGCTGTTTCAACTACAAAAACTAAAGTGTAATAATGTTAGAACAGTCTGCATTCTTGGGATATTGGCGCCCAACGTTGTAAAACGCCCTTTGATAAAATCTGTTTTTAAATATCCCTGATAACCCTTCGACATCTAGAGTTTTCTAGGGACTTTTTTACAAAGGACAGTTGTTTTTTTTTTTTCAATTTTTTCCATTATCTTCAAATACTAAATTCTCTCTTTTTTCTCTTATCTCCCTCCCCTCCGCAGTGTTACAAAATACCTCATGGCAATCGCTGACGCCCGGCACCACAGTTGCCGATTATTTATCACATCTTCCGGCAAATACGCTGCCCCTATCGTTGCATCATTTTTTAAAATATTCCGCTGAAAATATTAAAAAAGAAAATCAAAATGTAGTAAGTACTGAAACTGAAATGACAGTTGCCAGTTCAGACAAACAAGCAACTGCAGCGGGCATCAATTATTTTCTTTTCGAACTTCCCCAGGTCTTACAGGTACAAACGGGACCAGCACTGGGTTTAAATACGATAACGGGGTCGACGACCATAACAATACCTCAGCAGCAGTTGCAACAGGTAACGGCAACGTTACAGGATCAGCAACAGCAGCAACAACAACAACAGCAGCAGCAACAACAAACGGTGGCTGGGGTATTGCAGGCAGCCAGCCAGTTGCAAAGCCAAGTCTCGGTGGGCAGTCTCACCGGAGCCATACAGACGCTGCAGCAAGCCACCACAAGTGGCCTAGCGGCGGCACCACAACCCCAAGCCACAACTTCCACCGGTACCGGCACCACGACAAAACGCAAGAAACGAAAAAAGCGTGTCAAGGAACGTAAACCCAAGCCACGTCCCGGTGAAGTCCGTCTGATCACAGCCCTCGATGGCAGTCCCCTGTACATGTGTCCCGAATGTCAAGTCTGTTATCCCGAACCTGAGCTGCTGGAAATCCATTTGGTTGGCCACAATGCCGAACGACGTTATATCTGTGATATTTGTCAAGCCACGCTAAAACGAAAGGATCATTTGACGCGTCACAAACAATCTCACAATCCTGAGCGACCCTTTATCTGTACCGTTTGCCTGAAGGCATTCAAGCGGAAAGAACAGTTGAGCCTGCATTTTGTCATACATTCGGGCGAAAAGCGACATTTGTGTCAGGAATGTGGCAAAGGATTCTATCGCAAGGATCATTTAAGGAAGCACACACGATCGCATATTGCGCGGCGGGTCAAGGCGGAGTTGACGTTACAGAATGAAAGTGAAAATGGTACAAGTATGTTGCAACCGGTTGCGGGGGCATTGGCGGCGGTACAAGCAACGTTACAACAAGTACAACAACAGCAGCAGCAACAACAGCAACAGTCTCAAAATCAACAGCAGCAGCAGCAGCAGCAACAACAGACCTCACAAACTCAGCAACAACAACAACAGCAAGTTCAACAAATACAAACCCAACAACTGCAGCAGCATCATGTGGTTGTCACGCAACAGCAGCAACAGCAACAACAGAATCCTCAACAGCAACAAATGCAAATGCCTAATTAGCCCCCACCTGGTGGGGGCGGGGGAGGCAGCGTCACACAACAGGAATTTTGTAAAGTTAGTTAGTGTTGTTTTCCCTCTCGCCCTCTCCTAAGTTTTCCACTGTACATTTGTTAAATAATTAAGTTAAGGGAAATTAGGTCTATTTGTGTTTGCCATTTTTTTGCTCGAAGTATACGATATCCAGAGAGAACTTCGAAACAAATATTTCTGATAGGGTTCCGACAAAAAAAAAAACACTATAGAATACAAAATGTGATTGTGCTATGAAAACATTTTTCTGAATTATTCAGTTATTCCGAATTTACAATTATCAATATTCGAAAATATTTCAAAAAAAATTTCAAATCACATTGAAAAAAAAAAAAGAATTATTTAAAAAAAAAAACTAAATATGATGGTCTTTCAAAAAAAATATTTTTTCAAAAAGCCAAATTTAAAAATGCAAATCTCATAATTTTTCAAAAAAAATATTTTTATTAAAAAAAAATTGAAATCTGAAAATCTTTCGAAAAAAATATTTTTAAAAATCCATATTTGAAAAAATGTGTATAATGGATTCAAACTTTCAAAAAAAAAAAATTAAATCTGTTGGTCTTTCATAAAAATATAAATTTTTAAAAAGCCATATTTGATAGTCCACCGAAAACATATGTGCAATGGATTCAAATTTTGAAAAAACGTATGTCTCATAATTTTTCGAAAAAATAATTTAAAAAAAAAATCGGAAACTGAAAAACTTTCGAAAAAAATATTTTTAAAAATCCATATTTGAAAAAATGGGTGTAATGGATACAAAGAAAAATTGAAGTCTGATAGTCTTTCGAAAAAAAATATTTTTTAAAAATCCATATTTTTTTAAATCCCACATGTCATAATTTTTCAAAAAATTCTTTATTAAATTCATACTTGATATTCGTTCGAATACAATTTCGATAGTCCTTGAATTTTTTTTAGAAAATTTTTCACATTTCATAGCTATTTGAAAAATATTTTTTAAAATAATTCCTCATCTACGAGTTCTTTGAAAAAGTTTTTAAAAAAATATTCTCTTGAGAGTCTTTCCAAAAATATTTTTAAAAACCATTTGACAATCCTTTCTTTTTGAAAAATGTAAATCTGTCACCTTTCCGGTAAAAATAAATTCTAAATTTGTAGAGTTAATGACTTAAATGACTACCTTTGAAAATAAAAAAATTACGGTTTAATTCAAAGGAGCCCACTAGCCTGTTTTCAAAATCAAATGGCGCCCAACGTTCACTTTTTTCTAAACTTAATTTTAACAATAATTAACGGTCACTTTTAATCCATTGTTCAGATTGGACAACCTTATCGATCCCTGAGCATATATTAGCTTAAAATATCATATTCGGCAATCATTTATTCTTTTGGAAGATTTTTGCCTTTCCGATAAAAATATGTTCTAAATTTGTGGCATCAGTGACTTAAATAAAATGACGCCTACGGTTTGAAGAAAGGGCTAAGGTTTCATTCAGAGCTCCTCTTTCATAAAAGCCTTTGTTTTCTAAATATACAAAATTTAATGGCGCCCAACGTTCACTTTTTGCTAAACTTAATTTGTCGGTCACTCTTGTCTTTTGTTCAGATTGATTCTAGTTTCCCAAACAAATTTAGAGTCATTCATAACTGAAACATTTTTTCTGAAATATATTCCATATTAAATGGGGTGCTATTGAAAATTCAAGAAAATCTTTTAAGGATGAGTTCATAACTTTCCTATCAATGCTCAAAGAAACACAAACCAATTTTCTCCATTGAAAATGTATTGCCCAGAAATATTAAATAAAACCTTAAATATTATTTTTGGTGGGTGGAAGGTGTACTTGGGGAATCGTATCTAACCTGGTGCATGGCATGCCTTGAAGTTTTCGAATTTAAACGTCGCCCTAAACTTCCAAAAATAAAATATTTTCCCTGAAATGTGTTCCATAAAAATTTTTGAGATTTTGCAAAAAAAAAAAATAACGAGAAAATCTGTCAAAAACTAGTTCAAAAAACTCACCGAACCTATTTTATCCATTCAAAAGCTATTGCCCAGAAATATTGAATGAAACCCAAAATTGTTGTTTTGGTGTGCCAGCGATGGTAGCTATGATGTTTAATTGTTCCCAAAATGGCGCGCAACGATTCAACCCAAAATTGAGTTATCTGCTAAAACCAGGGTTTAATCTTCCTAAAAATGCCTTTTTCCAAACCCAAAATTGTTGTTTTGCTGTGCCAAAGAAGTTAGCTTTGATGGTTAATATTTCCCAAAATGGCGCCCAACGATTCAACCCAAAATTGAATTATCTGCTAAAACCAGGATTTAATCTTCCTTAAAATGCCTTTATTCTAATTACCGATTTCTTCCTTAAATTGATTACTCCTTGGCTAATCTCAGACGTCTCTGGAATGCACTGTTCCAACTACAAAAAAAAAAGAGTAATAAAATTATTCAGTTATGTCAGATATGGAACTCTGCATTACTCAAATATTGGCGCCCAATGTTGTGGATGTGGTATTCGACTTGAAATTTATCTGAGACACCAACAATTATTCAGACATTTGAAAATGTAATCCCCTAGGACTGTACATTACCAATATCGAAGGATATATTTGATCTGAATAACTACAACAATCCCAATATCTACTTGAAACCTCCAACTTTAGACATAGAATTCGACTACAATAAAAATGCGGTTTTCTGTTAAGCGTTCATAAAACAATGTTGGAGACATTTTTTAAGATTTCGATTGATTTCCGGAACGATGGCGCCCAACGGCGTGAAATACAAAGCTATGAGTCAGACACTGTAGCTTTGTTAAATAAGTTCAAACCATGTGTACATGTCTCCGAAAAGGAGAATATGGCAAGAATGTTATATCTGCTGAGAAGTTGTCGCCCAAACTATGAGTCAGACACTTGACAAATAGCTTGGCAAAAAGAGTTCAAACAATGTGTACATGTCGTCGACAAGGAAAATATACCGAGAATGTGGTATGGCGCCCAACATTGTCAAAGCAAAACAATTTTTAACTATATTTTTGCGAAAGACTTAATTAAGTTATAATTGTATCAAATGTAAAATTTTCGAAATAATGTGAGAGTTGTGATATATCCGGGTTACAAGAAAAGTCTCTCAAAAAATGTATGCTCTGCGATGACATTGTTATTTTATGGGCTGGTTCAAAAGCTATCGAAAATTTCTCCAATAAGAATTTCCCGAACATCTGAGTGGAATCAATAATAATATGGTCTGTTCCAGAACAACATAATAATGTTTTTACTGCGAGAAACGATTTTCCCTTTATGGTATCAAAAAAATCTTCAAACCAAAGCAATAATATTTCGTATCCATGTCTCATGGAAAAATTAAATTAATTTAACCTCATTGTACAAGTTCCCATTCAAATAATAATATTCTGCTCAATTATTTTTTAATCGAATAATTAATCACAGTTTTATGTAACTCCTCAAGAAATTTACATATATACATTGTTGTTCTATATTTAAAATTTACACGATCGTATATCACAATCGATAACAGTTTATTTATCTGTTATATTGTTTTATCGATTTCATTCCATTAATTTCAATCTTCCATCTCTGGATAATTATCAAATGGCAATTAGTTGAAATTTTCGATCACAAAATGTCTGAAGGAAATTTGTATACAAATGTAAATACATTTTTTTTATTAAAAATAAACAAAAACCGAGAAGAATCTTGTCAATAATTAGCAACAATTATTATAAATGTGTATGTGTAAAAAATATCAATAAGAAAACGAAAAAAAAAACAAAATAATAAACATATTTTTTCTACTAAAAATCTATTCGATAACAGAAACACAAAAAAAGTAAACAAATCTATTTTTTTAATTGTAGATATTCCAACAAAAATTATAAATAAAAAAAACTATTTTTAATAATTATGATCTCAAAATGTATATGTATATGTGTATTTTATATATTACAAAAGAAAAAAATCTGACAATTTTAAACAAAGACAAATGTAAAATAAATCTAGTTTATAAGGTGATTTTTTAAAACGATTATACATTACAATTATAAGTAAATACAAATAAAAATATTTTTCGAAAAAAGGAAACCCAAAGAATGTTTGTTTGAACAAGGTAAGTTTTGTCCTGTATTCCAAAAAATAGGTAAATAATTTAAAATATTTTCTTCATTTCACCATTTTTTGCTTACCATTTCAAAATACAAAACTTAAAATGCGGGCCCTGTAAAAGACCTTTGATCGAATTTTTAGACCCCTGAGTCGAGTGACATTTATAAAACAGCTGAGAACAAAAATATCTAATAAAATTGTTCCTATAATATAAAACACATCAGAGGCTTATGAAAATATGTTATTTATAATTTTATAGCGAAGCAAGGCCATCCTTTGTTATATTCCAGAACCTGCAAGAATCTGCTAGATTTGCAATTTGTTTCGATATCATAAAAGAAAAATCAGTTATCGTGATGACATTTTTATATTCTGGCAAGTTCTGGTTCAGGACAAATATAAGAATTTGTTATTAAAGTCCGAAAATCTATAGAAACATTTCAGCTCTGTTCCAGAACTGCAAAAATATAAAAATTTTTACTAAGATAATCGATTTCTAATATCAAAAAAAATGCAAAACTAGTAGATTTTGCAGGTTACGGAATAGAGCAAAAGTTGGTTTTGCTCGACTTTAAAATTACAAGGAAAATTATTTTCTTAAGCATTTTTTTGTATCAGATACCTTTGCAATTTTTTCAAACATGTTATGGACTCTAGATGAAATAAATTTATTTTATAATATATTTTTTGTACCTGAGATGGGCTAAGAATAATTTTTCCCTTTTTCAGACTCCAGAGAATAACAAAAATTTGTATATAAAACTTATAGCTCATTGAGACCTAAGAACATTTCTATTACATCTGTATAACGTTTTTTATACAACGCAATTTTTTTCAAGAGTTTTCGTTTTTCATTACTACTTTTTTGTTATTTTGATTTTTAAATAAAAACAAAAACTGAGAGAAACTTGTCAATACAAATAATTTTCTACTTCCCTTTCACCTTACTTCCCTCTCCCACAAGGAGATACCCATAGAAACTTGCCCAATGTAATTTGTGATTATATTATTTTCTATTTTAAATCCCCAACAACGAAAAACTATTAACAATCAAAAGACATCCTTCCCTTTAGCATCGATAACAATTAATCGATAAAATCAAACTCGACCTAGTTAAGCCTAGTCAATTCATACCAAAGTCAACCTAAGTAACTCTTAAAAGGTCATCTCACACACAAAATCATCACCCAAGAAAACGAAAGAAAATCATTCTAAAATTGGAAAATTTGGAAAATATTGTATAGTTTGTTGTTGGCCATCGAGGAAATATTAAAAATTTACCATAGAGCTAACATAGTTTGTTAAAAAAGTCTCCAACAAGCATTTTTCTTATTGAAAAGCAAGTGAAAAAGGGAAACACCACACAACAAAGGAAAGCAAAACAGATTCATAGACACCAAAGTAAAGACACCAACAGCAACAACAAAAAACTGTGAAGCATTCACAAGCAATATCATCAACCACTGAAAAGAAAAAGACATCGATTTGACGACATTCATCTTCCACCACAACCAGCCAACAGCTAGTTGAACAACGAGTGGTGGTCGGGTCGTAGTAGTGGTAAGAAAGAAACGATTGCTGCATACATTGAGATCTGCGTCATTATTTGTCGAGAGAGAAACACAACAGATAGTTAAATAGCTCCTCTTCAGTATCGAACGAAAGAAGGAAGTGGAACAGCTGATTGAAAAATGACCATAAAACCTGTAGTTGCTGCACCCCAAAAACGTACGGGCAATTCTGCTGCTGGAGGAGCCGATGGTGACAAAAAGGATACACCCAATGTTGGCGATTCGGCGAATAGCAATCATCCATCAACGAATAGGGTGTCCAGTGTACATGCTCATCGTAATGTGGTAATAGATAACCATGGACAGGTCGGTAAAGCCCATCAAAGAACAAAAATTCTAATATTTGTTTTGTTTCTCTCTCGTTCATTTTCCATTTACAGAGCCCCCAGCGTAGAGTAGATGTCTATGATGACTTGAGTCGTCATCGTCGAAGTCCGCATAAAACAAATCGCAATAAACGTCGTGATCATTTGGCCGAACATCATCATCACAAACGTGAAAGGGTGGCGGATAAACACAATTTGGTCCCAAAATGTAATAGTCCTCATGGGAGTGGTGGTAGTGGTGTTGGTGGTGCTGGTACTAGTTCCTCTTCGGTGTCGGGTGTAAATGCAACAGCTGTGGCCAACAATGCAATCTCCCATTCATCGGCTGCAGTGGGCAACAATTCCCCAGATCATTTACGCTTGGGTTCCCCAAATCACGCTACAAATTCCCAGACCACAGCCGTAGCCCAGGCCGCTAGTGGTCTTTTGAAAGCCATTGAAGATACTTTTTCGGGTTATAATTCTGGCGATGAACATTTACAGCCAGCAGAGGCTAAAACCACCGCCGATGAATGGCAACGTAAAGATGAGCAATTTGCTAAATGTATGGCCGATCGTGGTTACATTTTGAAACAGGTCGAAGAGGACGGAGCTTGTCTATTTCGGGCTATTTCTTTGCAAATCTATGGAGATGAAGAGATGCATGATGTCATACGGCAGCACACCATGGATTATATTGTAAGTGCATTAAAATCTATATTATGTGTTATATTTCTTGTAGGCCTAACATTCTTATAAGAATTTCTCGAATATTTTCGTAGGTATTTAGAGACCAACATAAATTTATCCAGTCAGTTTAGATTTTACCATGATTTGGAAAAAACTAATTAGGTGTCTTAGACCTACTCTGGTTTATGGACAAATCTCATAGATCCCAGTGTCTTATAAATACTTTTTAGAAACATAACTTTATTTAGAACAAATTTTACATAAAGGAAATTTATGGTTAACCTTTCTATAATTATTATAAAAGTTTTATTGGCCTCCAAAGTTAACAAATGTATTGTTTTTCTTGCAGTATAAGAACCGTGAATACTTTAGTCATTTTGTTACTGAGGACATCAACAACTATATAAAACGCAAACGACGCAAGGAGTCTCATGGCAACCACATTGAAATCCAAGCTGTGTCAGAAATCTATAGTCGTCCCGTTGAGGTCTACTGCTACAAGCCAAGTGAGTGTTATTCTTCATATATATGTGCCACTTGAATGCATTTAATATTATCGATTTTGTCTCTCCCTAACAGCTCCTATTAATATTTTCAACTCTGAACAGCTTAACAATGGTTATCCTCCACTACGTTTGTCCTATCAGCGTGGCTCACATTATAATGCCATTTTGGATCCCTATAATGCCACAGTGGGAGTAGGTCTGGGTTTAGCTGGCTATAAACCAGAACTACAAACAAAGGAAGCTGTGCGTTTGAGTGAACAATTGGAAATTGAACAAACAATGTTTGAAGATAAACTCAAAACAACAGATTGGGAGGCTACCAATGAAGCAATAGAAGAACAAATTGCCAGGGAATCTTATTTACAGTGGTGTAGGGAGAATTTACAGAAAACTCGAAATCAAACAGCCAACACAGCCTCAACATCGGCCACTGTGACATCGGGGCAAGCCGCAACAGATTGTGAAGCTTCACCCTCTAAATATGCCAATACACAACGTTTGAATCCCATTATGGCGAATAGTACGGTCACAACTTTACATGGCAACTCTTCATGTTCCTCGTCCGCATCGACACAGGTTGGAGATGGCACAAATGTCAATTTGGAACATGGTTTTTCCGGTAACTCTGGCGCTTCACCCAAACATTTGTCTTCGAAAAAGTCCGATGAAATGGGTTATGAAACTGATGATACAGATATGAGTAGTACTAGTTCCAGTGGTGGTGGTGGTGGAGGAGTTGGTAGTTGTTCGCCATCCTCAACAAATGCTAGAAGTAAAAAATGCAAATCAAGATTATCGAATGCAAAAATGGGGAAAAAACGTAGACGGGATACACAAACAAAGTGGGTTCCCTGAAAGCTCAGAAGTTAAGGCGAAAGACAACAAAAGCTAATTTGTTTTGTTTTCTTTTTTCAGTGAGGATAGTAGCAATAACCAGCCTCTGCCTCATAAAAGTCCTAAATATGACAGCTGCAGCGGTCTAGAAAAACGTTCTGTCACACCAGATTTTGAACATCAACAACCCTGCACCTCAAAACAATCGAATTCACCGGGCAAACAAAGCACTGCCTCCACATCAGCATTGCCCAATACTTCTGCAACTACCTCTGCCTCATCAACGTCTGCCAGAGCGAAAAATGAAGAACATACAAGTAGTTTTTATCAAGAACTTTTGGAGGCTTCCTATGCAAGTGAAGGTGGGGAATTGTTTAATTTTTTATGATGAAAAAATAATATATTAATTGGTATTTCGCTCTTAGCAGATTTCGGTCAGCTCACTGAATCGGAAATGTTACAACGAGCAATACAAATGTCCACCCAAGATTATATAGAAGATCAAAAGCGTAAATATCTCTATGGACCATAAGTGTTTTTTAAGGCAAATAATAAAAATTCAAAATTAAAATCTAATGCACTGTAGCAGAAAAAAAAACAACAACAAAAAATTACTGTTCCTTTTTTACTAGCTCTTAAAATATATATAAACATAAAAGGAAAATTCTATTATTTTTTATCATATTTTCAAAATTAAAAAAAAGTAGTATCTATAGATTTACAATACTATATCTAGATAACATTTTGAATTGAAAACAAGAATATAAACAAATCTAGTAGTTATGTGTCAGAGAAACAATGAAAGAAAAGCAAATCAAAAATTAAAATTATCTGAAAAAAAAACATTTTCAAAAAAAATAAACATAAGAAAATCTATTTGGCAGAAGACAAAAATTAAATATTGAAAACTTCAAAATAAACACAATATACAATTAACGAAAGCAAACAATATAATAATCAGAAAATAATAGATGTTGTCCCATTACATCTAGCACAATTTGTCGTTAAGTGGAATTCAGCACATTTGAGTTTAAACGGAGAGTATGAAAATTAAATTTGATATTTTTTCTATATTTCCTTTTGCATTTAACATAACAAATAAATTCTTTGTGGCTTATAATTTAGTTTATATTTTTCTTATTGAATCATGTCTATTCTAGAATTACATTATCATTTATTTTCTTTCTTTGTATTCACATATATATTGTTATATTCTTATTTGATTTTTACAAGGATTACAAAAGTATTTGAGTTTTTGGTTTTTTTTTAAATTCTTTTGATACTCTTGATTTTTTCGATATATGAAAATCGTACTACATATTTTTTGCTGGTGCATATAACTGAAATTAAATCTTGAATAAAATAAAAACAAATTAATACATATATAATTTTTAAGTTCATAAGTGTAGTATGTATGTAATTTTTTATAAGCATAATATCAACAAAAAAAAAATATATACACAAAACGGAATACAAATAAATTCTGAATATTGAAAATCTAATAAGAACTGATTTATATGGGCCTTTGCGATCAACATAACCAAGACAAACGGTTATACAGGGTGAGATAAAAAAACTGCAACCAACGTCACACTGCTGCCATTTCAAAGCCACTCGTCCGACAGCTGTTAAAATTATTCCAGTGAAAGCTCATTATATTTTTTACAAGCGTACAAAAGCATTTTGGTGAGAATTTTCTAAAAAAAAAATTATTGATAGTGTGATTTCTGGAAAACCACAAGTGGCTATCGTTAGAGCACTGCAGCATTTAAATGTGAATAAATCCTGTATCACTCGTTACCGTGATACTAGTAGCGTAGCCAACGTCAAGAAGTGGACGGAAGAAAACAGGAACATCAGCAGAAATGGTTCGAAAAGTAAAGAAGCGACTTGATCGAAACCAGTGTCGCAGTGGCCGAAAAATGGCTCGTGAGCTGAACATATCGCAATATTCCATTTGGCAAATATTGAAAGCCATTGAAATTCCAAAAAATGCAAGAACTTTCATCGCAACAGAAAGAAAATAGTATCAAAACAGCTAAAGAGTTGCTTCGCTTGGCCACCACCGTAAGTGGTGAACTACCGAATTTGGTTTTTTTTCGATCTCCGATGAGAAAACATTCTTTGTCCAGCAGTTTGTAAACAAACAAAATGATCGTGTTTACTTGCCAAAGAGGTCAGCTGAAAATGTGCACCTTCGGTTGTGGGCCACCATAACAGCCAATGGTCGCTCTCCGCTCATTTGAATCGACCGTGGCATCAGAATAAATGTCGAATATTATCGCGAAAATATTCTGGAGGGTGTATTAAAGCCTTGGGCACGCAAAGAATTTGGCCGCACACCTTGGACATTTCAACAGGGCTCAGCAGGCGCCAACATTTTTTTTAGTTTTTCAAACGCCTCTAGGACCTCTAGGAAAAAATAATAATGAGTCTCCTGCATCTTGAAATTTGTATACCCTCCACCATAGTATAGAGGGTATATTATGTTTGTCATTCCGTTTGCAACACCTCGAAATATACATTTTAGACTCCACAAAGTATATATATTCTTGATCAGCATAAAATTCTATGTCGATTTAGCGATGTCCGTCCGTCTGTGGAAATCACTCTAGCTTCCGAACGAAATGAAGTAGGTTGATAAAATTTTACTCAAACGTGTATTATGTCTGAAGGACTTTTGATATTGAAAATGTAGGTCGCGTTTTGATATAGCCCTCATATAATGGTACCTCCCGATATTCGGTATTTTGGTGGTTTTAGCGACATTATTTACCGGAATTGTTTTAAATTTGGTATTTTAAGTTCGTAATGTATAGCACAGCCTAAGACAGAAAATGGTCTATGCAGGTGCACGCCTGCGTATAGCCCCCCATATAACGGTACCCCCGATATTCGATATTTTGATGATTTTAACGACATTATTCTCCAGAATTGTTTCAAATTTTGGTATTTGAAGTTCGTAATGTATAGTACAGCCTAAGACAGAAATTGTATGTGCAGGTCTCCATCTTCGTAAAACCACCATATAACGGTACCTCCCGATATTCGATATTTTGATGATTTTAACGACATTATTCACTGGAATTGTTTCAAATTTGGTATTTGAAGCTCGTAATGGATACTACAGCCTATGGCAGAAAATTGTCTGTGCAGGTCTCCATCTTGGTATAGGCCCCATATAAGGGTACCTCCCCATATTCGGTATTTTGATGATTTTAGCGTATAGACTCTAATATACCGGCTACACTCGGTATTTTTAAGTTTTTGACAGAAATTTTAACGGATTTTATTTTTTTGGAAAATTGCCAAATTAGTTCCCAATGATGGAGGGTATTTAAAGATCGGCCGAACTTACAGCTTTTTTACTTGTTGTAGTATATTTTTGTAGATTTTCGGGGACAAGAGAATTTTTTTTCAGAGGCCTAACCGGAAGAACTATGAAAAATTGTTTATAAGATTTAAATAGAGCCACGGGCTTGAAAACTATTTACAGAAGGACACGAAAAGTACTAAAATGTACCAAATGGTTTTCAGAAATTCAGACTTTAAGTTTACGAATAGTTCTAAAAAGGTACCATTTGGTATCGGGTACCATTTGGTTTGAAATTTAGTATAAGAATCAGGGTTGGAGAGTTTGTTTGATGTGTAAATTGAACTAAATGGTACCAAATTTGGAAAAGTTTGTTTTAGGCTGAAGCTGGAATTTGGAAAGTTTATAAATGTGCTGGTCTCGGAGAACAATGTTTTCTTGAATATAACATCAGGGTCCTTTATGGGTCTCGGAGGTGATCTAGGCGTAATTTTTTAAATTGCAATTCTTTAAAAAAAATATTCGAACAATTATGTGTGTTGAAGTGCAACTGTTTATTTGTTGTTAAATAAAAGAAAAATTTTTATATGTCAGTACGCATAGTTATAAACATTTACTCAGCAAGTGCCGGAATGATTGGTGAATTTTTACCAATACAAAAACGATCACAGGTCTTTAAGACATCATTCCACAACAATTGGTCGGGGCAATTGTGAATATAGGCCAGACCATTACATTGTATGAATTTGCGACAATCCTGGGGATAAGGCAAATAGATGTGTCCCTGGCCCAAACACCATGCATTACATTCTTGACATTCCTCTCCAGCAGTGGGATCAACAACTACGGGTGGTACGGTGCCAGCAGTTGGTATTGTGGGGGGCTGTGGTGTAATTGTTGGTGGCATCACCGGTGTATAAGGACATTGAGCCATTTCGGGTAAATCACATTGCTGTTTGTACGAATTCCAATAATAGCTTGGTGGACACAACTTTGCCTCACATCTATAGTAGCGATTGCAATCATTGGGATAAGGCCGATAGGAAACAATGTCACCACTTGGTTGGGGAGGAAGTTCTGTTGATTGTTGAGAACACTGTACATTTTCGGCATAATCACAGAGTTGATTTAAAGGATTCCACAGGAAATTGCCAGGACATTGTCTCAAATAGGCCAATCCATTTAGACAACTATAATATTTTGAACAGTCATATGGATAGGGCAACAAAGTTGTTTTATACGGATCATCAACTCTGGGACACTGGGGGTGAACAAAAGGTCTGTTCAGCGGGGCAATCTAGAGATGGAATTATTTAAAATTAGTATTTAATAAAAGCGAATATTCAATCACATTACCTCAGAAGCTGTGGCCGACCAACCAAGGGCCATTAGAAATATTAATATTTTATAGGTAACCATGTCCTTTTATTCTTTTTTTTTGGGCCAGATGATGTGTAGCTCTTAAAAGTTTAGTTGTAACTGGAGTGGTTGTCTTCATTTATTGGTGCTTTATATACATATATTTTACAGTTGGGGATTTCTTTTTAAGTGTCCAGTAACCTTGAATCCATGTTAATTATTTGTTTATCCCATTGTCGCACTTGAAATCTGTTATCGCCAATAAGAAAACATTGACATTCTTTAAAGGTTCAGGCATAAGATATCATTTTATGTTTACATCGAACTCTGTTGATGTCAGATATGGACATATGATTGATGCATTTAATGACAATAATAAAAATTTACCTCGGAGGCCTATTGCACATATTCAATAAAAATGTGTTATTATACTTCATTTTTTAAAGAAAGTGTCAAAGGAGGAATTATTTCAGATCAAATGTCATTGGGAGTCTCTGAAATTTGTATATTCAATATGTGCCATGAAAAAATACCATCAAGGTTTTTATACCCTCCGCCTTGAAGAGGACGGTATATTAACTTTGTCATTAAGTTTGTAACATCCCTAAATATTCGTCGTCGACCCCATAAAGTATATATATTCATAATCAGCATAAAATTTTAAGTCGATTTAACGAAGTCCGTCCATCTGTCTGTGGAAATCAAGACACAGCCCAAATTGTTTGACGTAGAGCGTCAAAATTTAGTAGAACAATTTGTGTTGTGTCTAGGATGGTTGGTATTGAAAATGTGATATAACGGTACACATTTGATATAGTCCCCATATAACGGTACTTCCCAATATTCGATATTTTGATAATTTTTTCCACATTTTTTCACGGATTTGTCTGAAAATTGGTATTTGTAGGTCATAATGGGTACTAGTTTGTTTGGCGAAACATTGTATGTAAAGGTTTACGATATAGCCTCCGTATAAGGGTACCTTCCGATATTCGGTATTTTGACGATTTTTGACACATTTTATCACGGATCTATCCAAAAATGTTGATTTGTTGGTCATAATGGGTTCTATCTCCGGTGGCGAAATACTGTAAGTATAGGTCCACGTTTTGGTATTGCTCCCATATAACGATATCTCCCGATATTCGGTATTTTGATGACTTTTGACACACTTCTTCGCGGATTTGTCAAAAAATTGGTATTTGTGGGTCACAATGAGTTCTAATGTTACCTTTACCCTAAGGTGGAGGATATTAAAATTTCGGCCTGGTGAACTTAATGTTTTTATTTTTATTTATTTATATTATTTTTATTTATTTATATATTTTCCACTGTTTCCCAATTTCCTGCAATTTTTTCTTATAATTTCACCAATCCCTCTTGTGGAAAATTCCAAGTGCATTTGATATTGGGTTGGGTTTGTTGATAAAACCCCCAATACAGGTTCGGGTTCTTATGCCATATTATAAGAAAGCTTGGGAAAAATGACTAAAATTGCCGAAAATTAAAAGGGTTATATAGATTTTAATTGATGATATTTTTATGGTATATATTAAGTATACAAACTTCTTTGATTCAGAGATGAAATTTGATTTAGAATAATTCTTCCTTTGACACTTTCCCCAAAAAGTGAAGCATAAAAGGAGATTTTGACTTCGATTTGAAACGAGTTAAATTAGCAGTAAAAAGGAAACACATACATTTCACTTGAAGAACATACATTTCGAATGTAAATTTCTTAAAAATTATTGAATTTAGATAAATAGTTTATACTGAGATTTGTAGTGAAATTGTGTGTAAAATAATTCTACTTTTAACACTTTCCTCAAAAAATGAGGTATTAAGGGAGATCTGGACTTAGAACTGAAACGTGTTAAATTAATTGTAGAAGAAGCATACACATAATTTTCACTTGTAGAACATAAAGTTCCAATGTCATTTTCTTAAAAGCTTTTAAACCTAGATAAATAGTTTATTCTTAGATTTGCAATGAAATTTTGTGTAGAATATTTCTTTCTTTGACACTTTCCTCAAAAAATAAAGTATTAAGGGAGATCTGGACTTAAAACTGAAACGTATTCAATTAATCGTAAAAGAAGCATGCACGTAACTTTCACTTAAAGAACATACATTTTGAATGTAAATTTCTTAAAAATTATTAAATTTAGATGAATAGTTTATTTTGAGATTTGTAGTGAAATTTTGTGTACAATATTTCTTCTTTTGATACTTTCCCCAATAAATGAAGTATTAAGGGCGATCTGGACTTAGAACCGAAACGTGTTAAGTTAATTGTAGAAGAAGCATACTCATAACTGCACTTGTAGAACATAAAGATCCAATGTCATTTTCTTAAAAGCTTTTAAACCTAGATAAATAGTTTATTCTAAGATTTGCAATGAAATTTTGTGTAGAATATTTCTTCCTTTGACATTTTCCTCAAAAAATGAAGTATTAAAGGAGATATGGACTTAGAACTGAAACGTATTCAATTAATCGTAAAAGAAGCATACACGTAACTTTCACTTAAAGAACATACATTTTAAATGTAATTTTCTTAAAAATTATTGAATTTAGATGAATAGTTTATTTTGAGGTTTGTAGTGAAATTTTGTGTAGAATATTTCTTCTTTTGATACTTTCCGCAAAAAATGAAATATTAAGGGCGATCTGGACTTAGAACCGAAACGTGTTAAATTAATTGTAATAGAAGCATACACATAATTTTCACTTGTAGTATATAAATTTCCAATATCATTTTCTTAAAAACTAATAAACCTAGATAAATTGTTTATTCTGAGTTTTGTAGTGAAATTTTGTGTAGAACATTTCTTTTTTTGACATTTTCCCCAAAATGTGAAGTATAATAGGGAGATTCTGACTTGGAATTGAAATGTGTTAAATTATCAGTAAAAAATGAAACACATAATTTTCATTTGAAGAACATAAATTTGGAATATAAATGTCTTAAAAACTATTGAACCTAGATGAATAGTATATTCTGAGATTTGTAGTGAAATTTAGTGTAGAAAATTTCTTCCTTTGACACTTTCCTCAAAAAATAAAGTATTAAGGAAGATGATTAGGAGTGAAACGTGTTAAATTAGCAGCAAAAATGAAACACATACATTTCACGTGAAGAACATACATTTCGAATGTATATTTCTTAAAATTATTGAATTTACATGAATAGTTTATTTTGAGATTTGTAGTAAAATTTTGTGTAGAATATATCTTCTTTGGATACTTTCCTCAAAAAATGAAATATAAAGGGCGATCTGGACTTAGAACTGAAACGTGTTAAATTAATTGCAGAAGAAGCATACACATAATTTTCACGTGAAGAACATACATTTCGAATGTAAATATCTTAAAAACTATTCAACCTAGATAAATAGTTTATTTTGAGACTTGTAGTGAAATTTTGTGGAGAATATTTCTTCCTTTGACACTTTTTCCAAACAGTGAAGTATAAAGGGAGATTTTAACTCGGAATTTGAAACAATTGAAATTAACTGTAATAGAAACTTAAAACTTAAAAGAAACTTAAAACTTAAAAGAAACTTAAAGAACATAAATTTCGAATGTAAATTTCTTAAAAATTATTGAATTTAGTTGAATAGTTTATTTTGCGATGTATAGTGAAATTTTGTTTAGAATATTTCTTCCTTTGACACTTTCCATAAAAAATGAAGTATTAAGGGAGATCTGGACTTAGAACTGAAACGTGTTAAATTAATTGCAGAAGAAGCATACACGTAATTTTCACTTGTTGTACATAAAGTTTCAGTGTCATTTTCTTAAAAACTATAAAACCTAAATAAATAGTTTATTCTGAAATTTGTTGTCAAATTTTGTGTAGAAAATTTCTTCCTTTGTCACTTTCCCCAAACAGTGAAGTATAAAGGGAGATTTTGACTTGGAATTTGAAACTGTAATAGAAACATACAAAATTCACTTAAAGAACATAAATTTCGAATATAAATTTCTTAAAAACTATTAAACCGATATAAATAGTTTATTCTGAGATTTGTGGTGGAATTTTGTGCAGAAAATTTCTTCTTTTGACACTTTCTACCTAAAACGATATTTGAAGTTACTCTTGGGCGTCAACTCGAAAAAAGGCCAAAAAGGAATTAATCAAAAATCCTAGGAAATATTATCGTTTCTTTTTGCCACCATTAATGCAATTTTTATACCCTCCACCATAGTATGTAGGGTATATCAAGTTTGTCATTCCGTTTGTAACACCTCGAAATATACATTTTTGGACCCCACAAAGTAAATATATTCTTGATCCGCATAAAATTCTATGTCGATTTAACGATATCCGTCCATCTATCCGCGTATCTGTCTGTGGAAATCACTCTAGCTTTCGAACGAAATAAAGTAGATTGATAAAAAATTACTATTATATCTGCAGGACTTTTGGTATGGACCATGTAGGTCCACGTTTTGGTAGAGCCCCCATATAACGGTACCTCCCGATATTCGGTATTTTGATGATTTTAGCGATATTATTCACCGGAATTGTTTCAAATTTTGTATTTGAAGTTTGAAATGAATACTACAACCTTAGACAGGAAATTGTCTGTGCAGGTCCCCATCTTCGTATAGCCCCCATATAAGGGTACCTCCCGATATTCGGTACTTTGTTGATTTTAGCGACACTATTCACCAGAATTGTTTCAAATTTGGTATTTGAAGATCGCATTGGATGCTATAGCCTATGACAGGAGATTGTCTGTGCAGGTCCACGTCTTTGTATATCCCCCATATAACGGTACCTCCCAACATTCGGTATTTTGAAGATTTTAGCGACATTATTCACCGGAATTGTTTCAAATTTGATATCTGATGGTCGTATTGGATACTACAGCCTAAGACAGAAAATTGTTTGTGCAGGTCCACGTTTTCGTAAAGCCCCCATATAACGGTACCACCCGATATTCGATATTTTAATGATTTTACCGTTACTATTCACCGGAATTGTTTCAAATTTAGCATTTGAGGTTCGAAATGGATACTACAGTCAATGACAGGAGATTGTCTGTGCAGGTCCACGTCTTCGTATAGCCCCCATGTTACGGTACCTCCCCATATTCGGTATTTTGATGATTTTAGCGACATTATTCACCGGAATTGTTTCAAATTACGTATTTAGAGTTCGTAATGGGATCTACAGTCTGTGACAAAAAATTGTCTATGCTGGTCCAGGTCTTCGCACATCTCCGATACGATATTTTGATGATTTTAGCTATATTATTCACCGTTTATTTCGAGTTTCGAATTTGAATATGGTAATGGCTTATGACAAACAATGCCTATGTGTGTTGGGGTCCACGTCGTATAGACGGCTATACTCGGTATTTTAACAGAATTTTTTTTAAGGATTTTATTTTTTGAAAAATTCCAAATTTGTTCCAAGTGGTGGAGGGTATTCAAAGCTCGGCCCGACCGAACATCCTGCTTTTTAACTTATTTTCTTCTGGATTTTTCTTGTAATTATTGAAAATATTGAATTTTGTCGCACAGTGTAATTTCTTTGGGGAAAATTACATTTTATGAAAGCATTTTTTTAGAAAACTAAAGATCCATTCGTGGAAAATTTTTCTCAAGGTGTCAGAGATCTCAAAAAAGGCATATGGGCCTTAGAGACCAAAGTAATTAAATTTTTGAAAGAAAATGAAAAAAAATATTTCTTTTTTATATTTCAAAAAATATTTTATTCAATCTATTTGTTTTAAAAACGTCCTCCACGACCGCCGCGGCCTCCTCTACGTCCTCCCATAAAAGATCTGCCACGACCGGGGCCACCACGACCTCTGCCACCTCTGGGCGGGCCACCACGACGAGGTGGACCAAAACGACCTGGGCGACGACCATGTCCTGGATGTCCGTAGTGATGTGGATGACGGCCACGGTGAGGACGGCGACCACGGCAAGGTCTCATTGTGGTTGAAACTTCATTCGCAGGCCCTGTTGTTGTCTCTGCAACGGGAGATTCCGTGGAGATTCCATCATCCACTACTGGGGCAACAGTTGTTACTTCATCGACATAACCAGGATCGGTAACTTCAACGATATCATCCTCTTGGCCAAATACAGTACCGGCAATTAGCACTAAACCGAAAAGTGTCCAAAGTAATTTCATTGTTCAACTTTGATTTGAGTCGAGTGTTAAACGGAATTAATTTCTTCGACTTCGATTTGGAGGGGTTTTATAGCAAAAGAGTTCATAAGCAATATTTGATATACAGTGGGGTCTAAATATGACGATTCAAGAGGAATTAATTAATTACCGTAAATTTCATAAATGAGGATTAGAAATATACAATTTTCAGCTAAACTATTTGCCAGGTGGTCTTTATATGAAATTCATTTTAAACATTCTCCACTGTATTTGGTTTGGACGTCATTTGAATTTTGGCTTCTTAAAATAAATATTAAAAAACAAAACAAAAATATATACACGCGTTTTGTAAATAATAGAAACTCCGGTAAATTCGAATTCTAATTTCAAACTTCCAAACAGGTGTTTTTCAAATTTCAAATATTTAAGACGAATTTAAATAAATATTTGATTGCTACCACAATAACATAACTCGTTGCTTTATTCTCGGGACAATAATACAACTTCCGCAATTTCCTGTAATAATATTGACATATTTTCAAATCATAAAGTTTTCCAATGGAAAACCCTACATTCAGCCGAGAAGAGAGAGACGTTTTTTTCTGTCATGGAAACACCTCACCTCAATTTCAGCCGGTCTGGAGAGAAGATTTTCTCATGAAAACATTTTTTAGAGAAGAGAAAGATTTTAACGTCTTACGAAAGACATTTTCAGTTCTGCTGAAGTTTTTAAATAGAACGGGCTATATGGAAGTTTATTCTACCTCGAGTTGAAATTCCGAAAATTAAATTAATTATATTTTATACCCTCCATCATAGTATGTAGGGTATATTAAGTTTTTCATTCCGTTTGTAACACCTCGCAATATACAGTTTAGACCCCACAAAAAATATATATATATATTCTTGATCAGCATAAAATTCTATGTCGATTTAGTAACGTCCGTCTATCCGTCTGTCTGTCTGTCTGTGGGAATCACTCTAGCTTCCGAACGAAATGAAGTAATTTGATAAAATTTTACTCAAATGTGTATTATGTCTGTAGGACCTTTTGCATTTGGTAAATGGGCCATGTAGGTCCTGGTTTTCATATAGCCACCACATAACGGTTCCTTCCGATATTCGATATTTTGATGATTTTAGTGACATTATTAACCGGAATTGTTTCAAATTTGGTATTTAAAGTTCTTAATGGATACTACAGTATATGACAGAAAATTGTCTGTGCAGGTCCACGTCTTCGTATAGCCCCCATATAAGGGTACCTCCCGATATTCGGTATTTTGATGATTTTAGCGACATTATTCAGCGGAATTGTTTTAAATTTTGGATTTTGAAGTTTGCCATAGATACTACAGCCTATGACAGAAAATTTTCTGTGCAGGTCCACGTCTTCGTATAGCCCCCACATAACGAGGTACCGATATTCGGTACTTTGATGATTTAAGCGAAATTATTCACCGACTTTGTTTCAAATTTGGTATTTGAAATTCGTAATGGGTACTACAGTCTATGATAAAATTGCGTAAGCAGATCCACGTCTTCAAGTTTTTTTTTTGAAATTTTCAAGTTCCTTCCAAATGGTGGTGGGTATTAAAAGTTTGGCCCGGCCGACATTAGCTGGTTTATTAGTTGTTTTTTTTTTTTAATTTTATTGAATGAAAGCAAAAAATGTCGGAAATAGCATCAAATTTTAGAATAGGTTTTGGCACGAATTATGGCCTTAAAACGGCAAATGAAGCCATCACACGCTGTCCAAATGTTGCTCTGCGGTATTTTGGCCCATTCTCGGTGAAGCGCTTGCTTGAGGTGATCGACACTTTGGTATTTTTTAGTGCCAATCTTGCATTCCAAAATACTCTAAGCACAATAGTCCAACGGATTGGTATCCAAAGGCTTTAATACAACCTCCAGAATATTTTGCCGATAATATTCGGCATTTATTCTAAAGTCATGGTCGATTAATACGAGCGATTATCGGCTGTTATGGCAGCCCACAGCATCACCATGGCCGGCGCTTGAGTTCTGGTGGCCAACCGAAGGTGCACATTTTCAGCTGACCTCTTTGGCAAGTAAACACGATAATTTTGTTTGTTTACAAGCCGCTGAACAACCAATGTTTTGTCATCGAAGACCACCAAACCAAACTTGGCAGTTCACCACTTTCGGCCAAGCGAAGCAACTCTTTAGCTCTTTTGAGTCTATTTTCTTTCTGTTGCGGTTGGAATTTCAATGAGCTGTCACTGGAATAATTTTAACAGCTATCGGACGAGTGGCTTAGAAATGACAGCATTTCGGGATGTAATATTTGTTTAATTGCTTTTGGAGTAATTTGGCAAACACTTGTTTTAATAATCAAAAAAAAAATGTTTTTTTTTTCTTTTTTTTTGCCAAAAAAAGCGCGTGTCTTTGTTTGCTTTAATAAACCAAAACATTAAATGACGTCAAACACAAATACAGTGGAGTATATTGTTGGGCAAATCCTCTTATCGGTATCGGGCGGCAAGTAACGAGTCGATGATTTGATTCGAAATTATTTGTTATATTTAAGTTCTGTATAATTTCCAGATCCTTAAATTTCTTCTGGCATGGACTTTTTACAGACCTTTGAGGCATAACATAACATTTTATGGAAATTAGCCCCAGAAACCTGATAAAAAACCTCTTTTTTATAGGTCTAAGAGGTTTTTGAAACGTTTTCAGTTAGAAGATATTTATAAAACAAAAATCTTCAAAGCCTCAGAGGCTCATAAAAAAATGTGCTTGAAAAATGCTATAGATCGTAAAGACCTTCGAAAATTTGGGTATTTTTGCATTTTTAGGGTCTCATGTTTAAAAAATTACGTTCATTTCTTAAAAAGAATGCTTGAAAGAACCACGTTAAGTCCTTGAAGAAAACTCTTTAAAAAATCTACGTCTATTGGTCTGATGGTCCTTGAAGAAAATTCTTTAAAACCCACGTTTATTGGTCTGATGGCCTTTGAAGAACATTTTTTAAAACATCAAGGTTTATTGGTTTGAAGGTCCTTGAAAAAAAAATTCTTTAAAAAATTAACGTTTATTGGTCTGGTGGTCCTTATTTTTCTTTAATCCACACTTATCGGTTTGAAGGTCCCTGAAAAAATTCTTTAAAAAAAATCACGCTTATTGGTCTGTTGGCCCTTAATTATACCCTCCACCTTGGAAAGGAGGGTATATTAACTTCGTCATTCCGTTTGTAACATCCTTAAATATTCGTCTTAGACCCCATAAAGTATATATATTCATAATCAGCATAAAATTCTAAGTCGATTCAACTATGTCCGTCTGTCTGTCTGTCCGTTGAAATCACGATACAGCCCACATTATTTGACGTAGAGCGCCAAAATTTAGCAGATCAATTTGCGTTGTGTCTAGGGTGGTTGGTATTGAAAATGAGATATATCGGTCCACGTTCTGGTATAGTCCCCATATAACGGTACCTCCCGATATTCGGTATTTTGATGATTTATGCCACATTTTTTCACGGATTTGTCTGGAAATTGGTATTTGTAGGTCATAACGGGTCCCTGAGCGTGTGGCAAAACATTGCATGTATAGGTCCACGTTGTGGCATAGGCCCCATATAAAGGTACCTCCCGATATTCGGTATTTTATTTTTTTTGCCACATTTTTTAACGGATTTGTCTAAAAATTGGTATTTGTGGGTCATAATGGGTTCCAGCTCCGGTGACGAAACATTGCATGTAAGGGTCCATGTTTTGGTATAGCCCCCATATAACAATACCTCCCGATATTCGGCATTTTAATGGTTTTTGCCACATTTCTTCTAATGTTTCTTTTACCCTAAGGTGGAGGGTATTAAAAGTTTGGCCCGGCCGAACTTTATGTTTTTTTACTTGTTTTTTTTAATTCTCGTTTATTGTTCTAATGGTCCTTGGAGAAAATTCTTTAAAAAATCCACTTTCATTGGTCTAACAGATCTTAAAAAAATCCGGTTTATAAACGGTTTTAGATTCTAGGTCACTTTGGACCAAATCCGTTTCAGGTTATTTGGAGTCGATCTAGCGATGTCCGTCACGATAATTCCCGGACATCGGAATATTATTATAAACCTTAGATCGAATTAGGATATTGGTTCACTCTTTCTGGTACCTCCCCCACAAAGGATCAACATTTTGAATATCAATGAAGCTCATAAAACGCGAAATAAACATAGGATTTCATTCAGACCTGGTACATCGCAATATGTCTATCAACACAAGATCTGTTATAGAGAAGGTAGAAATCGGACCATTTCTCCTGGTACCTCCCATACAAAGGGTCAAAGTTTTGAATAACAAAAATGATTATAAAATCCGAAATAAGTATACGGTTCTTTTCATATTTCACACATCCCAATATTTCTACTAATACAACATCTTCTCTGAAGATGGGATATATCGTTCCGCTCCATCAGGTACCTCCCCCACAAAGGGTCAATATTTTTAATATCCATGAAGCTCATAAAACGCGATATTAAAATCTGATTTCATTCAGACTTGGTACATCACAATATTTCCATCAACACCAGATCTATAATAAAGATGGTAGAGATCGGACCATTTCTTCTGCTACCGGTCCCACATAAGGTTCAAGGTTTAAAAAAAGCGAAATAAGCATCCAACTCTCTTCAAATTTCACAGCATTTTGGTGAGAATTTCCCAGACAAAAAGTTATTCGTCATGGAATTCAAGCGTGATAGTGTGATTTCTTTATATTTGGCTGGAGACCCACAAGTGGCTATCGTTAGAGCATTCCAACATTAAAATGTGAATAAATCTTTTGTGTTTCGTACCATCGCTCGTTAGCGTGATACTGGCAGTGTAGCCCGACGTCAAGGAAGTGGACGGAAGAAAACAGAAAGATCAGAAGAAATGGTTCGAAAAGTAAAGAAGTGACCGAAAGCGATCGAAACCCGCGTCGCAGTGGCCGAAAAATGGCTCGTGAGCTGAACATATCGCAATGCTCCATTCGGCAAATATTTGAAAAATGAGCTCGGG